ATGGATGAGACATGCAGTGATTGTGATATTCTAAAATTTCAAACTTTCTTTCTTTGGATGAGACATGCAGTGATTGTAATATTTTTTTAAGTCATTAATTATAATACTTTCTTTTTTTTCTTTTTTTTTTTTTTTTTGAAGAAGTGCACAAATTGAATTATGTTGGAAATTTATAAAATTTTAAACCACCAAACCGATTCGCATCTATCTGTCAAACCGCCAATCCGCTCAATCCACATTCGCCAGATTAGCGGACGGATGTGGATTGATTTTCTCCAATCTGCCAATCTGGTGGACAGATGGCGGATTAGAGGTTCCGTGGCCGCAACCGATCCACACCCACCCCTAATTAGTGACGTTGAATTAGTGGTATGAAACAATTTTCTTTGAAAAAACAGCCCCAATGTAGAACACTAAATTAAAAGCTCTAAAAGCACCACTAATGAGGTGACAAGTGTAAGGGAAAAAAAAAAAAAAAAACAACAACAACAACAACAAAAACAAAACAAAAGTCAAACTATCAATTTTAAAAAATAATTTATTAATAGTTAATTAGTGATGTTGGTTTTCAAAAAATAATTAATTAATAATAAATTTTTTTTAATTTTAATAATTAAAATGGCAAATTACAATAACGATTCCTATAGTTTAGATCTTATGTCACTTTGATCATTCATTTTCAATTATGACATATTTGACTCTAAATTTTAAATCTTGTTTTAAATAAGGACAATTGAAGATATCATTGCTTAATTTCAAGTGCAAAGTCATCAATTTGATAAAATATAAATTAATTTGACAAAAATAAATGTCAAAAAAATATTTTGTGAATTTTTAAAAATTAGGGCGAATTATACTAACAGTCCTTATAGTTTGAGATTCGTGTTAGTTTGGTCCATGACTTTTCAATTGTGACACATTTGACTCTGAATTTTGAATCTTATTCCAAATAAGGACAATTGAAGATACCATTGCTTAATTTCAAGGGCAAAATTGTCAATTTGATAAAATATAAACTAATTAGACAAAAATAAATGCCAAAAAAATATTTTTAAATTTTTAAAATTTATTTCTACCCATTAAAGATAAAATCATGTAAAATTGAAATTTCTTTTACACATTTATTTATTTATTTATTTTACAAAATTAATTGTTATTATGTGTTTGGATGATGATTATATAATGGGTGGTTGTTAGGATTATAATGTGTAATTGATATATTTAATATATGAAATGTTTTTAATTTTGGATTTTTGATTTGATGGTTTGGTTTAATAATTATATTAAAGTTGTCGCTATATTTAACTTTTGAAAAAATAGAAACTAATTTAATGAAAATAAAAATTACTTATTACATGATCATCATCCAAACACATAGTAAAAAATAATTTGATATAAATAAATAAATAAATATATAAATGTCTAAAATATTTATCAATTTTACATAATTTTATCTTTAGTAGATAGAAATAATTTTTAAATATTCAAAAATATTTTTTTGACATTTATTTTTATCAAATTAGTTTATATTTTATCAAATTAACGATTTTTTTAGTATATTCAATTGTCCTTATTTGGAACAAGATTAAAAAATATGGGTCAAGTATGTCACAATTGAAAAGTCAGAGAAGCCCTAAACTATAGGGTCAGAGACCAAAGTGACAAAAGTTAGAGACCGTTACTGTAATTTGCCCTAAAAATTATTTATATCCACTAAAGATAAAATTATGTAAATTGATAAATCTTTTAAATATTTATTTATTTATTTTTACTAAATTAAATTTTATTATGTGTTTGAATGATAATCATGTAATGAGTTATTGTTTTTATTTTTATTAAATTAGTTTTTATTTTTTTAAATGTCAAATATGACCATAATTTTGATATTATTATTAAACCAATCTATTAAATCAAAAAAATTTAACACTAAAAATATTTCATATATTAAATATATTGATTATATATTAAAAATCTCACCACCACCCATTACATAATTATCATTCAAACACATAATAAAAATTAATTTAGTAAAATAAATAAATAAATAAATATCTAAAAGATTAATCAATTTTACATAATTTATCTTTGATGTGTAGAAATAATTTTTTAAAATTTAAAAATATTTTTTTAATATTTATTTTTGTCAAAAAAGTTTATATTTTATCAAATTAACGACTTTGTCTTTAAAATTAAGTAACGATATTTGCAATTATCTTTATTTAGAATAAGATTTAAAATTCAAAATTAAATGTGTATAATTAATAATCAAAAATTAAAGTGATACGTGTCTCAAATGATAGAATTGTTAGTATAATTCACTCCAATTAAAATTATAATTTTTTTTATAAATTTATAAATATTTTGAAAATCTAGCTGATCTGTAATTTGCTCTTGCGTTTTCTACAAACCAAACCAGTAAACAAAGACGGGGTACAGTTCCTATGCAGTGTTTTTTGGCCAAACGGACAAAAAAACAAAAGATTGAAAAGAAGCTTTTACACTACTATGGGAAATGTGTGTACCATTCATATAAAGCATTTTATTTTATTATTTTATTTTTTGTTTAGTTTAATTTTAAGAGATAAGTTTTTAAAAAATATTTTAAGAAGAGAGTTTAAATTTTTTTTATTATAATATTTTAAAAATAATTTTAGAGTTATGAATTTGGGATCATTTGAAAGGCACGTATTTTTTTTTTGAACGTAAATATAAAGAGACTGAATAATTCATTCTGAAGCTGTGTTTGCAAAGTGACTTTGATTTGATTGAAAATCATTATCTTATCAGAGCTAGTAACAGCACCTATAGAGTAGAAATATATAAGAAAGAGACAGACAAAAAAAAGAAAAAAAAAAAAAAAAATGTTTTGAGAAGTTGATAAAAAGTTAATTTTTGAATTTTTATCAAGTTTTTTTGACATTTTTGAAAGTGATTTGGGAAGTTGATAAAAAATTGACTTTTACTTTTTAGTTTAATATTTATTTATAGTGTCAAATCAAATTAAAATGACTAAAATATCCTTATCTAACATAAGAGTATTATTTTTTTTATTTTTTTTTCATAGGCCTTAATTTGTAATTTTAGGACTGTGTTTTTGACACTTCTCAAAGGGATTTCGTTGTGTTTTCAGCAGCTACGTTTTTGGATATTTTGTTTAAAAACGTGACTTTTTACTATGTTTCTAAAATAGCAAAAATAGAGGAAAAAAAGCAGTGAGAGAAGAAAGGAGAGCTTGTTCAAAAAAAAAAAAAAAAAATGAAAAAAAATAGAGAGAGTAATGTAAAAAAAAAAAAAAAAAAAAAAAAAAGAAAGGAGAGAGAGAGAGAGAATAGAGGGAGAACGTGAGAGGAGTTTGGTCATACTGAAGAGAGAGAGAGACTGAGGGAAGAAAGAAGGTGAGTGAGAGGGCTAATTATTTAATAATTTAAGAATCAGTTCTTCTGATTCGTAGTTTGAAAGTCTGTGGCTCTACTGTTGCTTGACATCAAAATGACGTCGTTTTGATATTTTTTTTTTCTTCTTTTTTTCTGCGTTTTTCTAATGAAGAAGAAGAAGAAGAAAAGGCAGAAGAAGAAGAAAAAAAAAATTGCCAATAAAACAGATCCAGATCATTGATCTCTATGATTTGTGAATTTCATCACCAAATAAAAATTTCATCATTGATCATTGAATTTCATGATTTGTGAATTTCATCACCAAAGAAAACAATCCAAATCATTGAATTTCATCACCAGATCATTGATCCAAATCATCAACAAAGAAAACATCATAATTTCATCACCAAATAATGAAGTCATTATTTTTATTTTTTTTAAGCAAAAAAAATTTCATACTAAAGAAAACAGATCCAGATCATTTTCATCAACATCATCATCATCAACAAATTTTTTTTTTTTTTTGATGAACTAATCTTCTTCATCAACATCAACATCAACATCATCAACAATATTTTTTTTCTCCCTCATCTTCAGATCCAGATCAACTAGAAAAAAAGAAAGAAAGTAGAGTATGAAAGAGGCGATACCCACCGGCACGACCACCGATCGCCGCCACCAGTAGCGAGAGAGAGAGACGCCACCTTCTCTTCATCCTCTCTTCCTTCTCTTCCTCCTCTCTTCTCTCTTCTCTCTTCTCTTCGCTCTCTCGCCTCTTCTCTCCTCTGTGAAAGCAACTGAAACAATAAAATTATCCACCCAAACAAATTGAAGCAAGAAAAAGAAAAAGAAAGCAAAAAAAAATAGATAAAACGACATCGTTTTGTCTATTCCAGCCACATTTCTCGAGCTACCACTCATTTTTCTTTAAGAATATAGATATGTGATATTTTATAATATTATGATTAGTAAAAAAATATAATATGTGATATTTTATAATATTATGATTAATAAAAAATATGAATAGATGAAATATTGTGTTAAGTAATTAAGAAATATAAAAAAATATTAAATGATGATTAATTAAAACATACATACACAGAATATTTCGTAAATATTAAATAATTTCCAGAGAGACAAACCCGTGAGTTCAAGATACAACCGGACTCCATGTAGAAAAATTATGGTATGATGTTAGGGCAACTATGTATATTGTCCTGATTTGTTTTTTCTTTATTACATACAAATAGGATCTTTAAGGCTCCGTTTGGGAAGAAAAAAGTCAGGTTTTTTTGGCAAAAATAGCCACAAAAAATAAAATAAGTTATTTTAGCCACAAAAAACAAAACATCAAATCCAACCCGTAATCATTACAATCCTCTCTCACAAAAAAAGCCAAAAAAGTCAAAAAGCCAAAAAGTCCTCCCCAAACCAGGCTGAAATAGTCAAAATGCCAAAAACTCAACCCACTTCCTAAACGGAGGCTAAGTTCACATCAATTTTTAAGAAACTGATTAAAGCATGAAGATTTATCCTAAAATACCAAATAATATCTCATAAATACAAAACCCTAATATATATATTTTTTGTCATTTTCTGAAAGGATGTGCCTTAAGAGACGCCATGAGACTCTCTCTCTCTATATATATATTTTGCCCCTCTCTCTCTCAACTATCCATTTGCTATATCACACTACAAGGTATGGAAGACAAGTAGCCGTTGGCTCCATCTCCACACCAGACTCTTTATATGCATGGGCCTCCCCACTCTCTCTCATGCCCATTTGCTATATCACACTGCGAGACGAAGTAACCGTTTGCTCAAATCACCAGACTCTCTGCCTCTCTCTCTAGAATATCTATTTGCTATTCACACTGCGAGAGATGATGAGGAAGACGAACTAGCCATTGGCTCCATCTTCAGTCTTGCAGAAGGTTTGCATCTTCAGTTTTGCCGAAGAAAAAGGTTTGTATACTATCTTAGCGTGAGCTAATGATACTCTCTTTTGTTCATTTTTTTTTTTTTTTTACTTTAACATCTAATCATAATTTTTCTTTCATTTTCAGGGAAACTCTTTTAGCATGGATGTCACTCACGGCCCACCTACTACGGATGTTGAAAATCCTCCGATGCGTGCTACGGAGGTTGATCCTACTAGGGATCTTGAAAATCCTCCAAATCGTCCATTACCCGTGGGACAAGATGAAAATCTTGAGATAGAGCCTGACATGCCTCCTCTGGAAACCATTGTTCCTATCAAACTTGATGAGAAGACCATTGTTCCTCTCAAATTTAGAAAACGTGTGAAGTGGTTTGCCTTAGTTTTGTCAAATATTTCTCTAGCGGCATGCTTTCTAATAATTCCCAAATGTGTTTTCTATAAGGATTTATACTTGGGAAATACGACAGTCATATGTTTCGGATCACACTTCAATTTATGCATAACTTTCTTTTGTGCCCAATCATATATTGGGGTCCATTCACCGTCAACCCGAGATTTAGGTTTTTGTATAAAAGTTTTATTGAACTTATATGTCTAGTTGGGACATCTTTGATACTCTATTTTACTGCGCATCCTAGAGAGTTTCATCAACCCTTTAATGAACTGATTGACAATTGGAGCATATTACTCACCATGTGTTTAGCCTATCATACTTTTTTTTTAATCCAATTGCCCCTCTCTCTCTCTCTCTCTCTCTCTCTCTCAACTATCCATTTGCTATATCACACTACAAGGTATGGAAGACAAGTAGCCGTTGGCTCCATCTCTACACCAGACTCTTTATATGCATGTGCCTTCCCTCTCTCTCTCATGCCCATTTGCTATATCACACTGCGAGATGAAGTAACCGTTTGCTCAAATCACCAGACTCTCTGTCTCTCTCTCTAGAATATCTATTTGCTATTCACACTGCGAGAGATGATAAGGAAGACGAACTAGCCATTGGCTCCATCTTCAGTCTTGCAGACGGTTTGCATCTCCAGTTTTGCCGAAGAAAAAGGTTTGTATACTATCTTAGCCTGAGCTAATGATACTCTCTTTTGTTCATTTTTTTTTTTTTACTTTAACATCTAATCATAATTTTTTTCTTTCATTTTCAGGGAAATTCTTTTAGCATGGATGTCACTAACGGCCCACCTACTACGGATGTTGAAAATCCTCCGATGCGTGCTACGGAGGTTGATCCTACTAGGGATCTTGAAAATTCTCCAAATCGTCCATTACCCGTGGGACAAGATGAAAATCTTGAGATAGAGCCTGGCACATTGTTCCTATCAAACTTGATGAGAAGACCATTGTTCCTCTCAAATTTAGGAAACGAGTGAAGTGGTTTGCCTTAGTTTTGTCAAATATTTCTCTAGCGGCATGCTTTCTAATATTTCCCAAATGTGTTTTCTATAGGATTATAAACTTGGGAAATACGATAGTCATATGTTTCGAATCACACTTCAATTTATGCATAACTTTCTTTTGTGCCCAATCATATATTGGGGTCCATTCACTGTTAACCCGAGATTTAGGTTTTTGTATAAAAGTTTTATTGAACTTTTAGAAAACGTGTGAAGTGGTTTGCCTTAGTTTTGTCAAATATTTCTCTACCGGCATGCTTTCTAATATTTCCCAAATGTGTTTTCTATAAGGATTATAAACTTGGGAAATACGATAGTCATATGTTTCGGATCACACTTCAATTTATGCATAACTTTCTTTTGTGCGCAATCATATATTGGGGTCCATTCACTGTTTACCCGAGATTTAGGTTTTTGTATAAAAGTTTTTATTGAACTTATATGTCTAGTTGGGACATCTTTGATACTTTATTTTACTGCGCATCCTAGAGAGTTTCATTAACCGTTTAATAAACTGATTCACAATTGGAGCATATTACTCACTATGTGTTTAGCCTATCATACTTTTTTTGTATCCAAAATCCTACATCCAGACTTAGAGGTAGGATTTCCTACTATCTTTTTAGACATGAGCATGCATTTTTCTATTGAATTATGCAGAAAAGTCAATCAGTATCTATTAGGTTTTGACATGTTTGGAGCATTTGTGCTTATAGTCTCTAACAATTTGCTAGAGAAATGTTTAGAGGAAATAGAAGAAAATGAAGCTGACCGTCATCGAGGTAGAGATGGATCCAATAGGGGAAACAATGGGCATAATGGAAAACGCCCTCCAGGCGAAATGGTTGAGGTTGATGACACAACTGCTGAAGGTGTAGAAAAAGTTGAGGATGAAAAAAAACTGGTAGAGATGGACCTAATGGGGGAAATAATGGTCATGATGAAGAAGGCCCTCTAAGGGAAAAGGTTGAAGTTGATGACACAGCTGTTGAAGGTGAAGAAAAAGTTGAGGATGAAGAAAAAGTTGATGAAAAATAGAATATTGAAAGTGAAGCACAGCAGCATTTGGTTGATAATGAAGACACTGGTAAAGCACAACATAATGACAAGCCGGTTGATAATGAAGAACTTGAATACACCGTTTCTGAAATTCAAGAGCAAGTTGAATACAGTGTCTTAGACACTGTTCAATCTAATGCTGTCAAAAAACAGAATGTTGGAAGTGAGGAGCAATTTGGTCAAATTGTTCAACACATTGACAATGGTGAGCCGGTTTATAATGACAGTAATGGCTTCAAAACCACTGAGCATAGGCGAAGTAAAGTTCGAAGGAAGGGCCGAGTCAATCACCAACCTGGGAAGGTGGCTATGAATGTTGCCATAGTATGTGGCACAGCATTTATAGTAATGGTGGGAATTGCTCGGTCGCGAAACTAATTTTATGTCATTTCATTTCAATTGTAGCTAGGAGGGAAAGTATTATTTAGTTTAGAGTGTTATTTTGCCAAAACAATGAGTATTTGTAGTTTCAAAGTTCTTAGTTATTTTATTTTATTTTTTTTGTAAGTTAATTATGTTCTATTAGTTGTTTCTGATTATTTTGAGTGTTGTGTCTGGTTTATGTTATTGTAGTTATTTTCTTTGCTTTGTGCCAACCCAGTCAATGAATGTCATCACTGCAAATATCATATATAGTTTGTAAAAAAAAATATATATATAGTTATTGAGTATTTTTATTTATTTATTTTTATTTGTTTTGTGAGTTTAATTGTTAGTACATAATGCCCATTGTCATCATATTTTTATTAAGGTATACACTGACCTTTACAATATTTTTAGTACTTAAATGTACTAAGTTTGGCATTGAAAAATATATTGTATTATGTAACCATTTTTTTTTATCAGAAAAAAGGATAATATTTTATTAAATAAAAAATTACAAAATAGAAAAAAAAAAAAGAAAAAAAGAGAAGCATGAGGAGGCATATCAATTTTTTATTTTTTTTTTTAATTTTTTGAACAGTTGAGGCATATCAACTGAAAGAAGCCAAATGGCATAATGAACTTATAGACAAAATTCACAACTTCAAACTGCCTTGAAACAAAAGAGTAAATTGTTGATCCTGAAAGGAAACTTGCAAATTTAAATTGATTGAGAAATGAAAGTAAAGTAAAAACAAGTTCTTGTGACTCTCACGTGAATTTGCGGTTGTTTGGAATATATTCCTCAAATGTGTATGCATATGCCCCTGGCCATGGAGCTTCTGATGGATCGTAATTGGATTCTGTCTGTGGTGGCGGTGGTGGTGGTGGGAAGATCCTCAACCATGTGGCTCCACCTCAGAAGTATAGCGGCACCACCACTGTGCTCATCACCCACGACAAACTTCTTGTGTGGTGCTCGTCACCCACGACAAACTTCTTGTGGGTGTCACTTTAATGACTCAATTCATATTTGTTCCCTTTGAATGTCAACTTCAGAGGCTTGGAATAGGTACCTCCACATGTTTTAGACCTTTGATTGTTGATGGTTTAACTAAGACTGCCTCTCCAATATCCATAGAATTGGAACATCTTCCAGTCTTCCATAATAACACAACACGTTAGAATCAAATCAAAATTTCAATGGCTAGGATTGCAGTAAATCAACCAATTCATTATTAGCAATGATTCATCCACGGAAAATTTTCCTCCCAAATCCCCCCACCATTCTGGAGGGTTCGAAAAAAAAATTTGTATGGATAAATCATTAATTTTGTTAGGTTTTATTTCTTGACAATTCCGTTTGACAAAACTTATTTCAGTTATATTTATTTTCGCACTTTTATTTCAGTGAGGTTATGAGTGTTTAGACGCGAATCCAACCCGAATTGTGCCTTTCAGAAACGTTTGTGATGATAAAGCTTTCAAGATTGCCACTTCGCTGATTATGACGGGGCAGCGCCCCTTGGCGGGTCCGGGGCAGCACCACGGCCGGGTCGAGGGGCAGCGCCCCCGAAGCAAAATGCAAAAATGCATCCCAAGTTGCCTGTTCGAGTGGACATTCCCCCGCTCGAGCGAAGAATCCCTGGTTCCAGTAGTTTTGGTCGTCTGCAAAAGTACTGAGATGTGTGATTTCGCACTCGAGCGGGTTCTATAGCGCTCGAGCGGACCTCTGTTATATCACGCGCATATTTTGCTGAAGCCGCTCGAGCGGGCTGTTGGGCGCTTGAGCGGAGATCGCGGGACAGATTCTATAAATTCGCGTGTTGGGTCAGATTTTAGGATTACTCCTCCAGATCTTCTTTTTGGGTTCTAGGATTTATATCTGGGGATACCTTGTGAGTTTTCTTTGATGTTTTGATTGAGTATTCAACTCATGTTCTAAAGAGTATACATCAAAGGTTTTATTTGTTTTACAAGTTCTACAAAAGAGAGAGTTGTTCTTCGGTGGATTCTGAAGAATTCGAGCCTGAAGTTTTGGTGGATTCCGGAGTAGCTCATCGTAAAGACAACTCCGAGGTGAAGACGGGTTGGAAGAGGCACATAGAGGTTGGTTCAATTAGGCGTGGATTCGCTAGGTAATTGAGAGTATACCTATGTAATTCCTTTAAATCTTCTTAGTGGATTGTTTTGTGGTTGTTGCCCGTGGTTTTTTTATCACAGTTGAAGATGTCCAATTGTGGTTTTTTCCACGTAAAATCATTGTGTCTCTTTGTTTTGATTGTTTGATTGAGATTGTTATATTCTGCTTAAAATTAATACATAATCACAAATCAACATCTAGGGGATTTCTAGATTTTTCAATTGGTATCAGAGCGGGTTGTTCAATTCTTTTAGAACGAGATCTTGTTTGATTTGTGATAATGGATACAATTCGTGAACGAAATTCTACGGTTCGACCACCCCTACTTGACGGATCCAATTATTCTTTTTGGAAAGCTCGGATGAGATCTTTTTTAAAATCTATTGATGAAAAAGTTTGGCAATCCGTCATGAATGGGTGGACTGAACCAACAATTACTGTTGA